CTGATCCATTAGCAATATTCTAAAACTAAACAACCACAGATATACTAAATAATACTATCAATTATCCAGTATTTATCCATCTTTGCTAAAGAATAAATGTGAAACTGCTGAAATTCTATTCAAGTAACTTCTGAGCAAAAAACAGTATGCACCACTAGGCCTACAAGATCAGTGATATGAACCTTGCTCTCAGAAGCTCATAATTTTGAAAAGAAGATAAACTGTATCTTGGCATTCTTCCAATCTACCAGAAATAGTAATCTTATAAAAGTGAGTCATCCTATATTTCATCTTCTTACTCTTAACCATATCCTGCTGTAAAATTTTCTCCCATATTGTTTACAAGGTCCAAATATTTATAGACTTATGTCTCTCCTTTACTCTTAGTCAAGATGAATGTATTTAGTTCTTTTCCTTTTCTTTTAAAGCAATTCCTCAATTTAAAAAATCTTTTTGGTGACTTTAATTCTTACTTTTGTATTAAATTCTAAGATCCAAATCACATAATTAAAATATTATTTCAGGTATGAAATCAATCATAATGAAAACATAAACCTTTTTAGTGATGCAATGTTTCTATACGTAAAGCCTAAAATATTGACTTTTATTTTCCAATTGTTTTAGTTGTATTAGTAAACTGCATACTTGTATTTATTGTAACACTTTATTTGTATGGATTTTCCAGGTTTCTCATATCAAAGGAATAATTAGAGATGGTGAATACTTGGAAACAGTTGTGACAAGTAGAATAAAGCCAAACTTCTTATAGTACAGAAAATGAAGCTTAAAAAAAAAAAAAAGAAAAAAGAAAAACATCCATTGACTTAAACAGCAATTGTACTCTTAAACTCACTAAAAATAATTTTTCAAATGTCTCTATCATCATCTTTTAACACCACAGTCATATTATCTACTACAGAACATATCTATAAAGTAAGCACATACTTTAAATCCTCTCTTCCTGAAAATACTTAAGCAAAAGCATGACAATATAGTTGCAAATATCAGAATTTATGATCAGTGAAAAGAATCAGGGAGGCAATCCCATACCGGGTGGTTCAAAGTTTCAGATTTTATTAGAGTTACTTGAGGAGCAGAGACATTCAGTAAATGTGTGGGTAAAATATAAACAAGTACAAGGCGAGTTCAGAACCAGAGTCAAAACACATTTTCAACATTGTATTCATGTCACAAACAAATAATCAGTGGAGTCTTTTTTTGTTTTTGTTCACAAGCTTTCAATATGTTAAAACAAACAAACACTCCAAACTCCCTGATATTTAAGGCCTACTTCAATCAAGCTCAAACCCCATAGTACCCCAACTATGCATATTTGGGCCAGGCAGAACTATACATCCTTTCTGAGATAATCCAAATGCTTTCTCGGGTAAGGATTTTTTTGTTTTTTTCAGTACTGGGATTCAAACTCAGGGCTTACCCCTTGGGCTACTCTACCAGCCCTTTTTCTGGGATGGGCTTTTTCAAGATAGGGTCTCACAGACTATTTGCCCAGGCTGGCTTCAAACCTCGAACCTTGATCCTCTTGATCTCTGCTTCCTGAGTAGCTAGGATCACAGGTTTGAGCCACGGGTGCCTGGCATCACCTCAGGACTTTTACATTCAATACTCCTTTAGAATTCCTTCCTCCATCTCCTAAATTCTACTCATTCTTTAAAGTCCAGTTCAAATGCCACTGCTTTTTGAAGTATTGAACCTCTTCTGACTTGAAAAGCACTTAGTCTGTACCTGTCACAGAGTCACAATAACATTCTTTCTTACTGTCTTATAGTGTAACTGTTTGTGTGTATGCCATGTTTCTTTTCCTTGACTATAAGCTTCGTGAGGTTTTTTGATGCAGTCATACTTGTACTGTCCCCAGCCCTCTATTTTACACACACAATAATAAATGTTCACCAGTGTGTCTAAATACTTTACCCAAAATGCCATAAAAATCACTCTTCTCACTGATATTCATTCACTGAGGAAATAATTCCTCAACACCTATTGTGTACAGGGGTAGAGGTACACAAAAGAACAGACACAGACCCTGTCCCCTCAAGAAGTTTACCATAATATTAACAGATAAATGCTACAAGAGAGTAAAGATGAAATGTACCAGTAATCAATAACAAGGAGAAAGTATTTCTAAGTAGAGATGTATATAAGCATTAAGTTTGAATGTTTGTGCTGAGCCCTGAAAAATAGTATTTGAGTATGTAGAGGCAGGGTCAAAAAGTTGTAAGACAGGGGAAATAAAAGCTATTTGAGGCAGGAAATCTCAAAAGGAAACAGGAATAATCAATAGTTCAATAGTACAATGTATGTGAAATAGAGAATACAGAAAAATTGTAAGACAATTGGAGCTATACATATGTAGTAACACCCTGGAAACCAAATAATAAGAAATTATAGCTTCAGTCTGTCAATAAGTACCTACATTTCAGGCTGGACACCTATAATCTCAGCTACTTGGGAGGCAGAGCTCAGGAGGATTGGAGTTTGAGGCTAGCCCAGGCAAAAAGTTAGCAAGACACCATCTCAACCAAAAAGTTGGGTGTTGTGGTGAATGCCTGTGATTCCAACCACATAGGAGGCTATAGGTAGAAGGATAGTGACCCAAGACTGGCCCAAGGCCAAAAAAAATCAAGATCCTATTCAAAGAATAACTAAAGAAAAAAAGGGCTGGGCATATGGTTCAAGTGGTAGAGCACCCAAGCTCCCTCAGTTTTTCAAACTCCAGGGTCAGCTTTAAAAAAAAAAAAAGAAAGGACCCACCTTCAAAGTTCTTGAGCAAGAGTTAAGTAAATAGCTAGCAGCTCTACAGAGAAGTGAAGGGAAAAAGAGATTGTTAACAAGGACAAAAACTGACAGACTAGTACCATAATAGAGGAAAGAGGTAATAAAAGTCTGAATTAGAAAAGAAGCCCCAGAGATGAAAATAGTAAGTGGAAGAGATATTTTAAGAGATGAAACTGAAAGAACTTGACAAGTTTCAGGTGTAGAACAAAGAAGGGTCTGCAAAGAGGTAAAAGAAGTTTCTAAGCTAGTGGGAGGGTGGTGCCATACCCAAAATAGAGGACTACAGCAGCAGCACGTCTGGATGGGAAAAAACTGAGTCCTGGTTGTACTGAATTTCATCAGTGGATATTCAGGTAGCAGTATCACAAATAAAATATGTTAAACAATGCTGCTTAGAATAAAACATACAATTTTATGAAATGAGGGAAGCATTCAAATTAATCCTCAATAAGATTCTCATCAATGATTCAAACAAGATTACAACCCTGAAAACAGAACTCACATAGGTTACATTAAGTGTATAGAGAATTAACATCTAAACACCATCTATGATTTTGACCTAGAACAACCTCATATACCTAAGAACCATTTTAAAACATGATGATTCATGGTTAAGAACAATGGGATATGTGAAGTCTTAACCTTTATAGGTCAAAGTGATATAATGATAATGCTTTTGTTAAAATGCTAACTGCATTGTTTGTAGTCCCTATTATTTGGCCCCAATTTAATGACATAGTCGGATGTTCAGGCCTAACTGACAAGGTGCCAAGGGATACAAACTAGATCTCTTTGTGTATTTATTCCTTTATGTAATAAATAATCTCTTCAGTTAGTAAGACTGGAATCTATCTAGAACTCCTATCACAGACCTAAAATTCTCAAAAACCTCAACAATAAATGATCATGAAATCACTTTTGAGGTGGATGAATAAAATCCAATGATGTACCCATATCTTTGTAAGGAAAACAAAGAAAAAAACCCCTCAACAATACAAATTTTTTTTTCTTTTATTGATATATGCATACAATGTTTGGGTCATTTCTCCCTGCCTTCTCCCTGACCCCTCCCTTACCCGCCCCTCCGCCTCCTCTCCCCCCCCCACCCCCTCACTACCAGGCAGAAACTATTTTGCCCTTATCTCTAATTTTGTTGAAGAGAGAGTATAAGCAATAATAGGAAGGACCAAGGGCTTTTGCTAGTTGAGATAAGGATAGCTATACAGGGAGTTGACTTGCATTGCTTTCCTGTGCATGTGTCTTATCTTCTAAATTAATTCTTCTCGAACTAACCTTTTCTCTAGTTCCTGATTCCCTTCCCCTATTGGCCTCTGTCACTTTAAAGTATCTGCATTAGTTTCTCTGCATTGAGGGCAACAATTGCTATCTAGTTTTTTGGGTGTTTTACCTATCCTCATACCTCCCTTGTGTGCTCTCACTTTATCATGTGATCAAAGTCCAATCCCCTTGTTGTGTTTGCCCTTGATTTAATGTCCACATATGAGGGAGAACATATGATTTTTGGTCTTTTGGGCCAGGCTAACCTCACTCAGAATTATGTTCTCCAGTTCCATCCATTTACTTGCGAATGATAACATTTCATTCTTCTTCATGGCTGCATAAAATTCCTCAACAATACAAATTAAAATAACAACATGAAAATGAATATCTAGCATCATTTAATTAATATTAATAAATGTTTATTATATGAATACTAAATAAAAAAGTAAAATCAAACATTTGAATTGTGTTTAATTTACCTAACAAAATATATTTATTCATTTATTTATTATTAAGGTTGGCAACAACATTCGTTTTACTAAATAAAAGGTCATTATTTCAGCTTAGATTTTAAAGGTGAAAAGAATGAGAACTCAGTTTTTAATTACTCATGTTTTTACTAATGATGAACAATATAAAGAACAAACTGAACTTAAATGTATTTGCTTTACATATTAACTACCCCACTAAAATTATGTACCAATCATCTGCTAACAATCACACTGACATTTTCTAGATAAGTGTAAATGCAAGGGAATAACATACACAAAATATTAATAAAGGTAGTCTATTGATTATGGCTGATTTTTATTCCTTCTTTTTTGCTTGGGTATATTTTCAAGACTTTCTGCAATTGTTTTTTATATAATTGTACCAAGAAGAAAATATTTTGTTAAAAGAGGAAAAAAAGACTTACTTACCAGGTCTCTGTGAAGCACCCAATTTGCATGGAGGTAATGAATACCATCAAGAATCTGATAAAGTAAAGATTTAACCATAGATCTTGGCAACTGCATGGGTTTTTTATTTGCTTTTGATGCACGGTGAAACTTAATAATATGCTAAAAATTAGAAAATAAAAGATACTATTAATATACTCTTTGCTATATCTATGCCAAGAAAATACACTGAGACTGTAATAAACGCTCTATATTTTAAAATTACTTTTTAAAGGCCAATGATATAAAAAATAATTTGAACATTAAAGTCAACCAAAACTGAATCTATTTTGGGGTGTGAGTTTGCCTTTGTTAATGTTGGGTTATAATGACCAGATTTACTCAAACCATTATGATTTTCATTAAATAGTACCAACAGGTAAATGCTTGTCTAAGAATAGTATGACATATTCTCTTCTGAAGAATGAAAGTTTTTTTGTTTTCGTTTTTTTTTTAAAGAAACCCTGTAAAAACATTACTATTCTATCTTTAAAAAATAGCACTTAGTACATTTGGGTAACATTTCTTACTGTGTGTACTTGGGAATTATTAGAAAAGTTCTATGTCCTTTTGGCACAAAATAAATTAAGATACGCTCCTAGGAGTTAATATTAAATAGGAAATCACAAAGGAGAGAGAAAAGAGAACAGGGAATTTAATTCCATTGAAATAAATACAACCAGATCATTATATTCAAATTGTTACATCCACATTGTAATGAGAAGAAATGTTACTTACCGCCCCTAACCTCCCACATCTATCCCTGCTCCATTTCAACCTCTGACCAAACCAGCAAAATGGATATTGAGGGTCATTTAAAACTCTCCTCAAACAACATTAGTGGAGTTATCAACGACTTCAAAATGGTCAAACTATGAACTTATTTATATAGCTTCCTTATTTTTTATAAATTGCTCAGTAACATTTATTTAATTTTCAGAAATAATAAAAATTTGAGTTTATACCAAAGTAGTGATTTCCAACAGAAATATAAGGAAAGCTGCAAACATAACTTTCAATTTTTTAAAAATCCCGTTTTTATAAAAGAAGGGGAAACAGGTAAAATTGATTTGTGGACCATGGTGGACAGAATAGTTATACAGGACTGCCTAGTCCAATGTACAATATTTTTCATACCACTGATGTTCAAAATGAAGTAAGTATCAACTAAATCTTGGCAAAAATGTAGAGAAAGATGAGTGGGGAAAACAGCATGTTTATCAGTAATTGAGAAAAACACTGGAGGTTCTAGTCAACAGTTCCTTCAAGACCTCTAAGTCTATTGGAGATTTTCCTAAACGTATCTGTAATTTATATAGATGACAAACATTGAATCAAAATTTAATTATACATAATTTGAGTTTACTGCCAAATCTGCATTTTTTCCTTTTAGCAGTTACTCAGATAAAATGTTTTAAAATGCCCTGATTCCTAAAAAGTTAATAATTAAGATTTTGATTCTTTTATATATTGATAAATATCTTTAAAATCTACAATAATCTATATAGTGGACCCAGTTTTACATGGAAAAATGTTGCAAGAAGTTGACCTTAATTTAGAAACTAATCACAAGTACATAAATTTGAACTATTGTGTATCACAAAAGAAACTAATTTTTCACTACACATATTAGTAAATTTGTCATTAATTACTTGCATAAAATTGTGGTTACTCATTAAAATTTTCCGGTGAAACTTCCGACTATTGCAAGTACTATCTTCTCAATAAATTTTAATTTACTGCTCAACTTCTTTAAACATGTATATTTATTATGTTTATTTTAACTGGTGGTTGACAACAAGCTGCCTTTTATTGTGTTAGCAGTACATATCACTCACATGCCCGCTCCATACCTATATAAAATAACCCTAGGTATTCAATGAATTTAGACTTACCCACAAGTCATGTTCTGCATAATCAAACAGCAGCCACACCTTCCTGTCACTGTGAGAAAGGAACACCTTCTGCAGTGCAATCACATTAGGGTGCTTCAATTCTCGCAAAAGCTGAATACAAGAGAAACAGAGGGACAACCATGCTGTTAGTGAGAATGGGAGGAACTATGTATTTCTCATAACTTCAAAATAAAATTTTTAAAAATTCAGAAAACACAGGTAAGCAAAGTGAACAGGAAAAATATCACCCCAAATACCACTAACTCAGAGATAAGTTCTGTCAACACCTTGGTGTATTTCTTTCTGATCCTTTTTTTATGTGTATGTGCATTTTTAAAATGGGATTACTTTAAACAGTAAAACACAAAAAGGTTAATAAAAGTATAAAAGTAATACAATATCACTGAAGAATTAATTATGTTTTGTGTACTCCAGAAAAGGAGGAGAGATTTAACAATCCACTCATGCCTGGAGTATGTAGCTGGTACTTTTTAGAAGAATAGTGAGTATAAGGCAATGACTCTTTGTACACTGATAAAAACTGGAGTTGATGAGAAAGCACTTGCCTAGCAAGAGTAATGAAGCCCTAAATTCAATCCCCAGTACCACCCAAAAAAATTGGAGTTGATAAGTTGCTACAGTTTTGGTCTTGAATGTTCCCCCAAAGTTCCATATGTTGAAGGCTTTAGCCCCACCCAGTGAATGGTGATACTAGAAGATGGTGAAACCTTTATCATGTGAGGCCCAGTAGAATGAAGTTAGGTCATTTGGGGGTGTGCCCTCACAGAGGATACTGGGACTCTGGACCCTCCTCTCTCCTCTCGTCCTCTCTTTCTTTACTTCCTGGCAAACCAAGAGGTGAACAGGCCTCTTCTGCCACATACTCCTGTTATGCTGTACTGTGCCATTACAGGCCCAAGCAACAGGGCCAAGTAACCATGGACTGAAACCTCTGAAATCATAAGCCAAAATAAGCCTTTTCCCTTATCAAGTTGATTATCTAAGGTATTTCTCACAGTAGAGGGCTTGTTAATAGAAAAAAAGAATAGGCATTTACGAAGTACAAGCTTCAAGTTACACCCTGACAATAAAGGGAAAAGATGGCCCAGATCAGCAAGTGAAAACTTAGCACTTGGCACATAACAAACAGCAGCTTGATAAAATATTTAGTAACAATGACATCAACTGCTCAAGGTAAAAGCCTTGTAAACATGACTGCCTCAGGCTATCCTTAAACAGGGTTCAGATGTAATAGGCAGAGAGAAATACATTCAATTTGATTTTTTTGGTATTTTTGGAGATAGGCTCTCAGACTGACCTTAAACTCATGATCCTCCTGCCTCACCTCTGGAGTGCTGGCATTACAGTTTACCACTACTGCATCAGGCTTGATAAATATATTTAGTGTTTTATAAATGTAAAGCTCCCCGGAAAACTATAGAAGGGAAGTAGAAGACTAAAGAAGGGAAATGGAAGGAAACTTATACTGAATACTTTTTTTCTTTGTTGTTGTTTATTCAGTTTTTTTTATGTGCAAAGTGATCACATACAAATGTTTTTCTCTCATTTAATCCTAATAACAATTCTACAATGTACAAAGAACCTTAGGTTCAGTGAGATTAAAAATAACTAGGCTCAAAGGCAAACAGCTAGACAGAGAAAGGATTTGGATTTAAATAGCTCTTACTGGCTCCCATGTCCATGTGTTTTTCTACTACAACTGAAGTCCTTGTCTTCAATTGCCACAATGTAGAAAGACAGACAGACATACTAAATAGATGAGGCAGAGAATAATAAATTGCTTACCCATTCTACTAATTTTAAGTGAGTAAAGCATACTTTGAATGCCTGTGCTAGACTCATGTAAAAATCATCTGGACTTGAGTTGTGCATGATGGGGCACACCTGTAATTCCTGCTACTGAAGAGGCTGAGATGGGAAGATCACTTGAGCCCACAAGTTTGAGAAAAGCCTGGGCAACATAAAGGGACCTCATCTCAAAAAAAAATTTTTTAATTCCATCCATGAAATTTTTATAGACTACTTCCCAATTACCTATTTCTTTATTACTTTCAATGGCAGATTTCCTAGTTCTCAATTTCATTTTTGCTTTGTGCCTCAGCTCTTTCTGTTCATCTGTATCTTACTAGCTTGGCTTGAAAATGACCTACCAGTTGTAAGTTAGACATGATTGCCCAGGTTCTGCCTCCAACTCATATGCCCTTGGACACAACCAAGAATTGTAAAAGCTCAGGTGGGCTGGGCTGCTCCTAGCCCACCTCCTCTTGTCACAGTCTGCCACTAGGTTCTATCAATAACTCTTGCTGGGTCTAAGTGAGAAATGAAGAGATGGAAGAGAAATGCCCAGGCAAGATATAACAGTCCTACTCCCTTGGTCGGGGGGAGGGGGTAAGAAGAGCACTTGCTCAACTATCTCAGGTAGGAAAATGATTTCTACTTTAATGGAATAAAATACATTGTCAATTAAACATCCTTTTGGCAACCTGATTCTGATGATATGGAACTATTTTATAACTCTACATTATAGCTAAGTGACAACAATGCAGGATAACTCCTGTCTACAGGCATATAAATTCTGTGCTGTCCAATAGCATTTTACTGACTTGGCTCCTCTCAACATGGAAGAAGCTGATGTTGCCTCAATTTTAATACTCCTAACTCTATGTCTGCTCTAAGGATTCTTTGAATGGGTTATAATATCAGCTTGGTTCCTACATTTTTTACCTTTTCCAAAAACTATCCTTTAATATTCACTGTACAGAAATATGTGACTTGAATGGACACTATAATGTTTACAGGTTATTGTCTATCTCCATTATTATATAAGCTCCATAAAGACAAAGATTTTTGTGCTTAAAATGACATCTAGTACATAATAAGCACTTCATAAATACTTGTCAAATGAATTAAATCTACAGAACTTACCGGGTTCTTAATCATAAAATAAACCAGTAAATGGCTTGTAACATTTTAAATTTTTGCTGCTCTTTCACAAATTAACCCTTTTCAAAAGGAGCTTTGAATGATTTTGTTTGTTCAATTAACACATTCTACTAGACATGTACGACTGCTGGCTTAATGTAATGAGCAAAAATACAGCTCTGACTATCTCAGGGTGAAATATTTAACCTGGCACACATAACCTGAAAAGCAAAGAAGTGCTATAAGAGGGCTGTGAATGTAATAAATGCTACAAAATTCTAAAGAAAATGACACATAGGAACAGGGAACAAAGGAGAGCACACCTAACAAACTAAAGCAGAGATTAACCTGTTTTTGTTTTTGTTTGTTTTGCAGTACTGGGATTTGAACCCAGGGCCTATACCTTGAGCCACTCTACAAGCTCTTTCTGTGATGAGTATTTTTTCAAGATAGGGTCTCACAAACTATTTGCCCGAGCTGTCTTCAAACCACAATCCTGCTGATCTCTGCCTCCTGCGTAGCTGGGATTGCAGGCATGAGCCACCTGCGCCCAGCTCACCTGGCTGTTTTTTATGGCTAGTTTGCAAAAAAGTGCCAGGCCCTAGATAAACATCCCATTAAGAACGTATTTTCTACCCCTTTACTAAACAAACAACAAAGTAAACATCTTTACCACTATCATTTTTTACCATTACTGTTTAATAAAATAAATAAATAGTAAACTTAAATGTTCAATAACAAAACTGGTAATTTGGCATATCCACATACTGCTTTCTCAAATATATACACTAATAATTTTTAGTTACATGAAAGACTTATGCTACAATGTTCTGATATAATGTAAAAGGCTACAAAATATAAAATATGTTTCTGAAACAGAAAATACATCAAAACATTAATAATAGTTATGACTGGGCATGAAATACAGTTTTTCTATTTCTTCCTTTTATTTCCTATTTGTCAGTTTTCTACAATGAACCTTACTCATAATTTTTTAAACACACACACACTAGCTCTTTCTTTCCAGAAATCTACCTGCCAAAGTGGGATACTATCTCAGCTTTTCATGTGGTTATTTAAGAAGGGATACAATGAAAGAAGCTGGTCATGCTGATACCTTCTCTAACTCTTGGCAAAATCACATTTCACCAATGAACTTTAATCTCTTGTCTCACAAGTATTTGTTCAACATGACCTCACGCAACTACAAATATGTTTAATCCTATTTAAACAGCTGTTAAGTAGACCATGATTTTCCTGTGACCCACACTAAGTGCTAACATCTGTCTAAGATACTCACTAAGATAACATGATCTCAAGCCTAATGAGGAATGTTCAATGGACATGACAGTATTTTATCTCATCCTCCTCTCACACATGTAAGTGACTTTAGAAAGTATCCACTTTTCACAGTCTTCAACATATAATAATCTAAAGTTGGAGCCTTAAATGTTTTCTCTAAAGCACAACTTAGGATCTTGACTCAAACTGGGGATTTTTGTGCTAAGATAAAAATTCCAGATTCCATTCACACATCATTTTTCTCCTTGCATTCTCCATTTTCTGTTGTTCAAGTCTATGATTCTAAATTTTCTTATACTTCAATAAATCACTTATCTCAAAGTAAATCCAATTTTCTATTCTTGTTTAATCCCTTAAAAATAATAGTAGATTCATAAGACCACCAATCTTCCCCTTGGATAAGAATAGTGTCAATAACTATTTAAGAAAGCACTGAGTGTATCATTTTTTTTTAAATGTAGGACACTTCTTTTCCCTCCCAAAGAACTGAAGAAAATGAAGTAATGCATTTTATGGTAATTAGGGGATCTGTCTGATTCCAAAATACTCTAGTATTTCTAAAACTGTAATTTAAGAGTTATGATTTTGAAAGGAGGCACTTTCACACCTATGACAGACGTTTTGGAAGCTGGTCTTTGCAAGTACATCAGATACATTATAACCTTCCAGCAGATGGCACTCATACCCTGAAAGGGGGTGATAAAGAACCAGGCCTGGTTCAAGGTGGCCCTTAATTTTTTGTTTTACTTCACCTCAGTGGCACTGCTTAGGTACCAGTCATAAGGTTCAGTGAGGTCGTATTTATCATTGCCACTCAGTAGAAGTGACAGTGCAACTGTAAATATAATGCAAAAAGTACAG